ACTGATATAGAAATTAGTTTTTTTGGGAAAAGTTAGTTTCCTATTTTATCACCCTGTAAATTAGCTCTGTAATTCTATATAAAGTTGTGTATATGCTCCTTCCAAGACAATACAATCAATTCATTTTTCTCTCAAATTTTCACATGGGGTCTTGATGAGCTTAGTTTGAGCTGAATAGGCAACAACAACCGGCTCACAGAATCAGTTCAATCTTGATAACTGTGACAGTCCAGCTCGGTGGTAGCTCTTTCTATACTGTTTCAGCCTTCAAAGGACAACTAGCAAACCCCCAATCACATAGTATTTTAGGTCCTCAACAACCGTTGTCCCAAAGAGAAGAAAAAAGGTCACAGTTCTTAAGAGACCTTTTGTCAAACACTCAGTGTGCAGTAATTAACAACCTACTGTTAACTGGAAGAAACCACTTCAAAGTGTTCTGTATAGGTCCAAGAGGAGGCTGGGATGAAGATGAGACTAGTACCACTTGGTTTAAATCAGTTCCAGCAGCTTGGCAGTCCAATAACAGCCGAACAGCTCTTCCAAAATAACCCAGAAATTTCTGAGTCGAATCAGTGCAGCAACAATGGGCCGAATGGAGAAGGGGTTTGAATGCTTTAACAGTCCTCCCAAACAACAAAAATAACCCAGCAAAGAACTGAGAAAAACTTACAGTAAGAGAAAATCTGATTTGAACTTCAAACCAGGCCAAACCCTTGCTCTCTGAGATAACTTTGAAATCCTTTTCTCTGATTTCAAATCAGGCTGAACACCTTGCTCTCTGATTCTTCCTGGTCACCGAACCCTTCTCCAAGTGTGTAGAGACTTGGGCACACTCCAATGACCTCCATGAACCAGACGAATGACTGTAAACTTTCAGCCCTAGAACCTCCTCATGCAGTTGGCTGAACTAGAACCACACGAGGGACACACCAAGCAATGGCCCGCTTTGATACCAAGTTGAAAAACAGTCCACTTGATGTATGGAACTGATTGAGATTAGATGCAAACCAGAAAATAAACAAACAAGAGAGGAAGAAGAGAGAGAGAGCTGGCGGCAATGAGGGTTAGAGAGTAAGAGGTTCGAACATAACCTCCCTTTAACACTCTAAACATTTTATTAAGAAGTTAATCTTTGAAATATTACAGAGAGGCCCTTGAGTGGGCAAGAAAATACAAAAAAAACATAACATTACAGAGTATGGGCCCAAAATAAGGCCCATTACAAAGGGAAACATAACATAACATGAAATGACAGTCTATGGGCCATTCGGCCCATCTCCTCTACAACATTAAACTGAAAATCGACATATTAAACTTGTTTGAAAACAAATTTGTTGGACATTCTTTAGTCTACTTTCTGGAATTTGATTTCTTTTTCTGAAAACAGGAAGTTTTTCTTTATTTGTTTTTTTATGGCATTATGACCATGGTTTTATTGAAGGATTATGTTTTATAGGCATTAAATGCTAAGAAAGTGAAATTTCCATGGAAAACATTTGCTGGTACTAGTTTCTCTTAAACTTGATAGGGCCCTAAATTCTATAGTTCGCTGCCTTTATTCTAATTTGTTGTTAATTTATTCAATGAGTGATGCAATGGGAGCATGTTGCAATTTCAGAGTTGATGGACATTTTTCCATGTAGAGATGGAGAAATTTCAGATATATTTTGCTAATTTGCTAATATATTTGTAAAATTAAAAAAACATGAAAGTTTTCTAAAAACATGGAATTAGTTAATTAACCTTCACGGAATTGTCTAAAAACATAGAATTGCGCATTAAGGCTTGAAAGCCATTGAAAATCATTGTATAAATCAAATAGGATAAATTTAAGAGGCTTAATAGATGTCTTTCTCTTTGTGTCCCTTTTAATTTTCAGCCATTTTCTCTTCATAATTTATGTCATTTACCATTTTGACTTTTTTCTTTTTTCTTTTTTTCTGTATGTTTTGGTAGATTAGATTGAGAATACTCTTTTTGCATTTTCTTTTTTCCTTTTGAATTATATTGACTTGGTAAGTGAATCATATAAAAATTAGTAAGCCCAATTATCCAATCACCAATTCCCCATTGGTTCTTTCAGGAAAGTATTTAGAAAATATGATGATTTTAATGAAACATTGATTTTTTAATAATATTCTAAAACTTTAAACCTCAAATATATAGTCTAACAATGAAATTTAAAACATTGCTGCCATATGGGAAAATATTGGAGATATTAAAAAAAGATTCCCAAAAAGTTTTGTATCACCACCTGGCAAAATGGGGATATTTCACCAAATATTGCTCATATTGCAAAACATGAATGGGAGATGATTTGAGGGGCTAAGTTCTTTGGTCTAGTTTTTTGTTCTAGGGTTGGTTTACTATCTTGTCATTTTGCTAGTGGTATGTATTGTGGGACAACTTAGCTACTTCGTGTTGCATTCTTACTTTTTTTTTGGTAATCATATCTTATTGTTCTAGTTACTGATTGTTTGGTGGGCCTGTTAAGATGGGGCAAACAAACCCTGGTTTTTTGGATGGTAGCTCTCCACTACCTGTTTGATTTCTGCCTGCAGTACATTTTTTCTCCTTCCTCTTCAGCCTTGTGTACTTGTTTTTTTCTCTGTCAGTGGTTGTTTGACAACAGAAGTGGATGAACTTAATGATTTATGGTATTGTTTTTTAGTGAATTAAGTTATTAAGGAGGTTGTGAACTCCTTAATGGTTGAAGCTGAAATTGGGTTGATTACCATATCTTAAATACTTTATTATTTTATTGACAAAAGACAAAGTGATAAGTCAATCAATTCAGCCACTTCATCTGTTATAAAAAGGCCCCTTAATAAATTTTTATCTTACCAGTATAAAACGTTTTTCTTAACTAGAATTCGTAAATTCACTTATTTTCGTGCTTGGGATGTTGCTGCTCTTGCATGATTTATGCTTATTAGCTTCATTAAGCATTCAAAAAGTGTTTTTTTTTACTATGCAAATGTATTTTTGACTTTTTCCTGTAACCATCTAGTGGCTCTCTTTTTAACTTTCAGTGTCTACTCTGGGACGGTAGCTGGTGCTCGAGAGGCATTTTTTTATGGTGTACCATCTTTGGCCATATCATATGACTGGTATGCAAAACATGTATATTTGGTAGAAATTACTATATCATCATCATCATCATCATCCAAGCCTTATCCCAACTATATGGAGATGGATACATGAATTCTGTTTCACCATTCCTTTCTGTTTAATGCCATATCCGTTGTTAAACTATGATCACTTAAATCATTTTTTACTACTTACCCATGTCCTTTTTGTTCTACCCCTAGCCCTTCTAACCCCTTCAACTTGCAACTGATCACTTCTTATGGGTGTTGTTAACGGTTTTCTATGCACATGTGACTAAACCATCTTAGTCTACTTTCTCTCATTTTATTTCCTATTGGCATTTGGAACTACTTCTAGGTTCCTTACAATGACTTCATTTCTGACCCTACCCTTTCTAGTTTTTCCACTTATTCATCTCAGCATACACATTTCTGCCACAATCATTATTTTGGACATGTTGTTTCTTGACTGCCCAACACTCAGCTCCATACGCTAGGCTTTACAACTGTTTATAGAATTTTACTTGTAGTCTAAGTGGTATTCACCTATCACATAACACCTAGACAATAGAAAATATTAAATGGCTTTAACACCTAAACAATAGAAAAAAAGCAAAATAATTTCTCTCTTTGTGTTCAAATTTGTGAGCATTTACTCATACTCAATGATACCCTATTGCATAAAAATATCCAGTTATTTTGGTTCAGTGTACTTATTATGGTCCCATTAACCATATTACTGCAATGCCAGCTTTGGATTTGAAAATCTTGAGGTCATAAAAAAGAATGTTGAAGGAGATTTAACAGTTAAGAACTGGCTCAAAAATGATGTTCAAATTCTATGGCAATGCAGAAATATTATGATGGAAATATGAGTGTTGAAATTGGATTTGGTTGTCATAATTGGGATTTTGGTTTTTGAAGGGGACTGAGGGATGATGAAACTGCTTGCCTATCAGAGCTTTTACTTCTTATTGAGAGAGTTTGCCTAGAACCTCCAAAATCGGATAGAAGAATTTGGTGCCCAAGTCCTAATGTTTTTTTTTTCTTGTGCCTCTTTCTTAAATGCACTTTGCTAATCTTCCTCCCCCCCGACCCTTTCCTTGTAAAGAAGTCTGGTGTCAGCTGATTCCCCCTAAAATTAAGGTTTTTTGTTGGGAAGTAGTGTATGGGAAAATTAACACTCTTTGTAAATCTGATGGTGAATCTTGTTACCATTTACTAGTTTCTTGCTCCTTAACTGCAGAGATTTGGAACTGGTTCTTTTCTTTGTTTGGGTGTAGGTGGAATGTGCCAATGGAGATTAAGATGCTGTTTGGTTCATCAACTTTTTCTTGGCCAAAGAGAAGGGGGAAGCTTAATGTGGAGATGTATTAGAGCAGTAGTAATTTGGACCTTGTGGGAAGAAAGAAATGCTAGGATCTTCCAAGAGGAGAGAAGTAAACAAGTTATAGATTGTGTAATGAATAAAGTTATACATTGACCACTAACTTGATCTGTTTAGACAGTACTCCTTTGATGGCATTTGGAGGAACTGGTACTCGGTGGCTTCAAGTTCAGTGCAGAAGGTTAAAACAAGGTTGGCTTGGATACCTCCATTTGAATATTTCTTGAAACTTAATTTTGATGGAAGTAGTCAAGGCAACTTAGGTCCTTTTGGATTTGGAGGGGTCATGAGAGATAAGGAAGGAAATCTAATAGCACTCCATTCAGCACCGTTGGGGAATGGAGACTTGTTGAAAGCTGAGCTGTATGCAGTATTACAAGGTGTCCAGATAGCAAAAGGGATGAATGTGGGGAACCTGGTGATAGAAGGGGACTCCAAGGTGGTGGTGGGCTGGATAAAGAATCCGGATTCAGTGATATGGTGCTACAGAGATGAAATGAAGAAGTTCAAATGGCTAACACAATGTATGAATCTGGTTGTACAATGGGTGGGGTGGGAAGCTAATTGTTTGGCTGATTCTTTAGCCAAGCAAGGGGTAATGAGGGATCAATTGTTTTGGGCATAGTTGTAAATCTCTTGTTGCTTTTTCTTTAAGTGTGAGGCTGCACCTCATGCCTCTCTATGGGATGCTTGTAACTGTTACTTATTATTTATGATATCAATGAAATTTTAACTTTATTCATCAAACAAAAATAAAATGGATATGCAGATCAGCAAATGGTTTGGCTGGTCTATGGAATAAAAAGGGGTCAGCAGAGGACATATCTTTTGGAGAACATTGGGAAACCTGTAATAGATAGGGAAGGCGGCAGTAGTGAGCATATGATGGGGAATGATTTCCTTCCTTGTAAATGTCATATTCTTTTATTTATTTTAATAAAGTTTCAGTTCCAATAAAAGTTCTGATTAGGATAGGTGCAGCTGTTTTTTATAGATAGATTTTAATAAAACAAAGGGAAGAAATAAGTGGAAGATCACTGATAAAATGTCAAATTTCTAGAGATGTCAGAAATCATAGAGCTGTATAATAAAATATTGGATTTTTTTTTGATAAATAAAATTTCGTTAAGAATTCATTATCAACAAAATAAAGACTGTTACAAGCATCCCAACGGGCAGCGCAGTGCACGTCACCCTTTAAAGGAAAAGGACAACACAAAAATCATAAATGGGCCCAAGACAACTGATCCTTAGTTACTCCTTGTTTGGCTAAGCAATCAACAAATGAATTAGCGTCCCTTCCCACCCATTGTATGATTAAATTCATATGTTGTGTTGCCCATTTGAATTTCTTCAAGTCATTTCTATAGCACCATATCACTAAATTGAAGGGAAGAGAAATCCATCAAATGGATGGCCGAACCATGCAGGGTGGTTGGGTGAAATTTCAAAAATTTTCTTTCTCCCTTCTGGGAATCGTATGCCCTGATTTATAAAAACTGCATTTTTCAAGGTTCGTTCTTGAAACAAACCGGACCAGATTTGTAACTAAAAGGAGGGGGGGATATACCTGATACGGAATCCACAAACATAGCTCCCAACGTAGGTGTTCATGCCCAAAGAGGTCACCAATCCTGCCTCCGTTGAAGATGACACAGCTTGAGATGAAGTAGGATCAGCAAGAACTGCCATCCTTTAGCAATGATCACGCAAGGGAGTGTGAGCACAACTTCAGATCTAATTTTTCTAGCAAAAATCAGAAATAAGATCAAATCTTGATCAATCCAAGACTGGAGATCGAACAGGGTAGGGCAGCAAGAACAGAGGAAAGAACTGGATTCAACAAAAGTGTAAAACTGTAGCGGTTCACCCTCTATTTATAGCCTCTCTGGATCAGCTTCCTAATCCTATTAGGAAAGGGTTATTTGATCTAAATCTTTATTTGGATATGAACTCTTAAGTGGATAAGACTTATCTTATCCTCTTGCTGATCCAGATACAGATGTAAACTCAAATTCACCCATATTTAATTAATCAAAATTAACCAAGTTCGAAATGGGCTTTAGGCCCATTAAGTTATCAGGCTCACTTCCCTTTTAATTTGTTGGCTAGCTGGGCTCTCTTTGTGTGGTGTGGGACCCTAACATTGATCTCCACGAAAGCCATATGGGTTCAGCCTTGCCTCTGTTACAAGGCCTGGCCGAATTCACTGCTGAAGACAGTGAACCCCTGAGCCCATCAGTATGGGCTCTTAGCAGGCCCAACATTTACACTAAATGGCCCTTGGGTCCAACCACCTTATGAAGGCCCAAGGACTATGCACTTAAGTGAGATTAGCTCATCGGGTATAAACCCTAAATGGTCTTACACTTAACCTCTTAGCCCTTAATGATCAAACACTGCCTGACAAGAGAGGACCTCTCCCTCGGCTACAAGGTACAGTGTCACGCTCTCTGCTCAGGATGGATCCCGGGAATTAAAACCTTTTGCAAACCTTTTTTTTTATAAAACATAATATATGTATATCTATATATAAATATATTTTGCAAAACAAATATCAAACACGTTTGAAATCAATTGTTGGCAGTTTAAGTTTCCATAAGAGAGATTGCTATCCCCGATCATTCACTTTGTCCGACAAAGGGGCTGATTGTATCATTATGATCTTCCACTCAAATGAATTCTCAGACTACCCCAGCATACCTAGGTTTTGACCCCTGTTAAGGATCTCACTGATTGGCATATCAAAGACAGCCTAATCCAACACCTAGTGCAGTACCATAATCAAGTCTAGGGGTTAGGTGTAACTTTCTAGTTTTGCCCATCTGTTTCCAAAGTCCAGGGCATAATTGGAAAATGGTTCGGTTCTGAGTTTCAAACAAACCCACACTACATGTGCTTCGGGTCTCACCTTGGCAGCTGAGACAAGCCACCCCAACCGACTTGGCAGCACATTAGTGTCAGTCTTGGCAGGATAAACCTCCCCAGGTCTATCCAACGGTTGTGAATATTCTAAACTAACATGAGTCTCATAAGTGTCTAGTTTAAGGGTATTACACAGAAACACACCAAATATAACATGACTCAACTTGGAAGGTGAGTTTTCCATTGGCCCCTTAATTACCTCGGTTTGCCATTGGGTGATAACCCTCAGAAAGGTTAGTTTTGGGTTCCGATTGTGGAGATGTTTGAAAAGAAATTAGCAACTTGGAAGAAAAATTATTTGTCTCTTGGATGGAGAATCACTCTAATCAGGTCTACTTTAGTTAACCTTCCTGTTTACTTTTTGTCAAACTTCAAGATTCCGACAAAGGGGGCTAGTAGATTAGAAAAACTAATGAGAGATTTTCTCTGGGAGCTGGGGGAGGAGAAGAAGGACCATAGGGTGGGGTGGGAGATGGTTTGTAGAAGTAAGAGGGAGGGAGGTTTGGGCATTGGGAACATAATGAATAGGAACTTGGCTCTTCTGGGGAAATTGCTTTGGAGGTTCTCAATGGAGAAGGACAAACTTTGGGTGAAGATAATGGGAAGTATTTATGGGGTTGCAGCAAATGGATGGGATTCTGGGATTCTAGCAAGGAGTACAAGAGCATCTCCTTGGAAAGCTATTCTACCTTTGTTTTGTCCATGGATC